TAAATAATTAAGGTTGTCATATTGTCACATCCAGTTCCAGCTAATATAAATAATTAATAAATACCGGAGGTATCTGGAGCAATCAAATGGTCTAACAAATCTTCAGCTACTTTTGCTAATAATTATGGAGTAACTGGTTGGTTTCCAAGTTTTGAATTGATAAACTTGAGTAGATCTGAATGATCAAGAGTTTCAAAAACACCATCACATCCCATTAAAAGGAATCTAAATATAAATTTATTTTAATACTTATCATTAGGTGTTAGTTCTACTTTTTTGATATCAGGGACAGCAATGATTAATTATTCATTTGTTCTTAGTTTATTATCTCTTTTATATTCAAGATCTCCCAAAGCACGAGATAAATTAAGATTACCTAATAATATAAAAATAAGAAATACCATTGACTCTTCCATCAGATACAAATCCTCCAGCTCTTTCAATTCTTTATTTTTCTTCATAATTGTCTGGTTTATGATCAACACTCATATCATGATTAGTATTATTTCGACATAGAACAGATCTGGAATCTCCAGCATTAGCAACATATAGTGTATTTTTATGGAATAATGCAACATTGGCTGTACATCCTGCATAAGAAACTATTTAAATTATTAATAATAAATTAATACCATCATCATCTCCACCTTTGATTTAATTGATTTCTTTTTGACCTTCTGGTGTAATTAACAGTTCATCCATCTTTAAAAAAGTCTCTTTCAAGGCTTCTTCAAACTTTTGATCTTTAAAATTTTTATTCTTTTAAAGTTCTTCAAGGAAGTGTTTCTCTACAAATAAAGCCACTTCCTTTCCTCCATGACCATCAAATACACCAAAAATTGAAATATCTGCTTAAAGATCACATACATGAATATGTGCATCTTCCATCGTATTTCTCCAACCTAATTATAATATTTATCAATGTTACCCTGCATTTCTGAAGCAGCATAGATAATACTCTTTCCTTCACCTTTGGTTGTTGATTTTGTTTTATTAGGTTAACTGAGGTATGGGCCCATTTAAAATAAATTTAAAATAGGATATTTAAGAAACTTAGTTCGGCTTATAATAATCACGAATCCAATAATTATAATAAAAAAAGTGATTATTATAGCATCCCGGTGTCATTTAGCTGTTACAATTAAAATTTAAATTCAAATTAGTATTATAAGACTTTTCAGGTTTTTTTAGAATTAATTTAACCCTTATAGATGTCAATAATTTATTCCAAAGTATCCAACTTATCCAGTAGGTACGTCTTTAAGTATTACCTAAATAAATATACAATGAAATAATACTAATTGTATTCTCGGACATCCTCATAGCCAATAACGCCAATCAAATACTTGGTCAGTAGGCTCAATTATTTATCTGATTTATTCTCATAAAATGGAATAATTGGGACTCCATTATCAATTTAATAGAAATAACTGAAAGCCGAATTATCTACAAGAATGGTTTTAGAAAGAAATCTATTTTTAACGATAGAAAGATCTTTAACATATTATCCAAGATCTGTGAAACAACAATGTTCTCTAGATAAAACCTTAGATATAATTTTTTTTGGATCAATGTACTCTACAATCTAATATTTAGAAATTAATTTTCACTTTTTTTGCATACTGACCATGTGAAGCTGTAAAGATGATAATCTCAAAATGAGGTTATAAGGTTTCTAACATAGTTTAGAGCCCTGGCCGAATAGTAAGTCCCACTTATAATATTTCTTATGGTGATAATTTGATATTGAGTTTTTTATCGCATGGCAATCTCATGTCTAGTGAACAATGTACCAGAGTTTCATCCAAATCTAATAATAAGGTATATTTTCTTGTGTCTAATTTAAATTTAATTTTCTACCTTTAGGATCCTTAGCAAGAATAAAAGGTTTAGGCCTAAATATGATTTTAGAAGTTGCGCATTATTTAAATGCCATAAAACTTTATTAAAGATGATCTTTAAAAAGACGATTGAAATAATTGTCTTTAGCCCCATAAGCGGCAACTAAGTCAGAAACATAATAGAAATAATTGATTTCAGGTAAGGGCTACACAATTCGAGGAGTTAGCGATTATTCTGAATTCTATTTTAAAATGGGTCGATAGAGAAATTTGAAAACGGAAGGCTTCCGACTTATAATTTTTTGATTTTCTACCATTCCATTTTTTTTTAAGTTGTTTCATTCGGTTCTGTTTTCTGAATGAAACTCTGTTTAGCAACTTTGGAAATATTATTACTCACTGGAGTGTTATTCTTGTCAATTTAAAGAGAATTCTCTTTGCCGAATCTTTGATAATTTTGCTATTCTTAAAATTTAAATCCTATAGAATCATTCCCTTGAGTGATTCGTGCAGTTGATTAAGGCTTAAGAAATCTTAGATTGGGCAAACTCTTCTAATGACCTCTCATTTGTAAATTAATTATATTAATTTTACCCTATCATACAAACTTATTCAAAAATCAAGATATTGGACAGCAGCACTTATCTCTATCAAATCAAATGGTTTTGATATGAAATAATCCATTCCATTTCTAAAGCAATCTAATTTAGAGTTTAAACCTGCAATAGTAGCTGTGGCAATAGCGAAACCTTTATCTAAATTTCCTTGCTGCATATTAAATTTGATACGCTTGACAAAGTCAATCCCGCTTAAACCCTAAATTTATCTCAAAATAATTACAGGAAGGTTGATGTCGATAAAGTACAGTAAGTAATAGCGATTACCACAATGACACGGACGACCTTTTTTTATGTCGATAATCTCTAATCCTTCAGAACCAGAGAATCCATAATCACATTTTATATCGTATTTCTTGAGTACTTTCTCTAAAACTATAATCTAAAAGCTGTCATTATCAAGTATCAATACTTTGGAACAACAATTATTCCGAAGTCGATATTTAATAACTTAAGTAAGCAATTTCGGATTGAAATCAGGTAGTGATATTTAATTGATCGTTTATTCAGCTGCACCAAAATCAATTGCTGTAAAAGTTCTTTGTGATTCATTAGGAGAGTCTATTTTACCTACAACACTTAAATTATTTCTATTAAGCAATTTTGTAATTTATTATATGCTATCTTATTGAATTCCTTGTCTATAAGTTCCAGAAAAACTCCCACTTTGTTCTCGAGATTATTTGTGTATTGTGCCACTATTTGGAATTACTCTTGAGTTTTAGGTGTCTTGCTTGATTTTTGAGAGTTGAGAAAAATAAGCACTTTATAAATCTATAGGGTCTGTTGGTTTTATAGAAAATTATTTTGATAATTAAGTAAATGATAAGACTCTCGACTCTCCTCCTCCACCACCTTAATTGATATTGTCTTATAAAAGAAGTGATAATGAAGTTTCAAAATATTTTTTTTTACCAAGCACTTTAATAGGCCCAGAGTCTGATTATGGATATCTCATTTAAGTATTTTGAGATTCAATAACAAAAGTAAATGTACAAAATCCTTAGCTGTCAATCAAAAATTCTAATCCTCTTTTAAAAGACCCAGACAATTGCCAGCAAAGTATTATACACATTTATAACTCTAATGGGTTAGATAAATCTAAATCATTTACAGATTTTTGACTTCTTAATTACTGATTTAATTATTTAGTTAGATTCATAATCTTTTGTTTAGCAATTTCATCAAAATCAGATTAAGTATCTTTAATAGTTATCATAATTCCTTATAATGTGTAACTTTTGATATCAAATTTGATTGAACTCTTTGAGGAAGATTACAAACAATAATGCAACAAACACGAAATGATTTGCTTAATCTAATTAAAATCATTAAGAAAAATTACTCTATCTTGATCACTAAAAATAATTGTATTGCCATCCTACAATTCTATGTTTGTAGTTAATTTAATTTGCTTCATTTTTAATAAAGGATCGAATGTCTCGAGCAAATCATCTAACAAATCTTCAATTCGAATTGCATTCATTTTGAAGAATAATTCATTTTAGAAATAGAATATATAATCCCTCATAGAATACAGAAATAATGTAAATCTTTAGGTTTAAAATCTCATAGTTAATAAAGTATTAGCCACATATTCTTCTTTTGCTTTAGGAGTTAAAGACTAATGATTAGAGTGAAATTTTTTACTTTAGTTGTTTTATTGCTACCTTCAATCATTTAAGAATCATTATGATGAGTAAGCAATAAAATATAAGTGAGAATACAATTAACGTAATTAATACAATCATGGGAATAGGTTGTGTAAATGTTTTAAAGTATTGAATTTGAATCTTAATTATAAATTTTGGGTAATATTGGAGCCTATTCAAGATTAAAAAGTATAAACTTATGTCCATTTATAATGGTTATAAAGAGTTTGATTTGAATGCCATCTAAATCCAAAAAGTCATTCTTCACTTTAAAAATTGTTAAAGTGAAGAATCTCCATCTAGATTAATTAAATAGAATTACTTTTCAAAATCTTTGAACAAACTTGAAATCAAATCTCTAATAGTGAACTGACCTTTTATTTTACATTTATGAACTTCATTGATATTATTACATAGAAATGACCCACTAATTTTAGTAAGACATTTTACTCACTAAAAATAGAATCACTGTATCCAGATTAGCCTAACAATTCATTAATTTCTTTGCATCCAATTATAATAGTGGATTCTAAGAACAGTAATTCACAATCAAGCTTATCTCCATTGTTCTTTTAAAGTTTGCCCAAATAAAACGTTTGGTAGATGATACTAAGATCGCCATTATAGATCAACACTGATTGATTTGAAAGCCACGACCTTTTATTTTTTTTGTACTCAATAGTACATATTTGTCATGATAATGTCATCCTCATTTAAATTATTACTATTCAATTAAAATGGCTTTATATCTGAAGAGGACATTGCTTTGGATTGTTCATCATCCTATTATTTAATAATCTCCTACGATTTGGCTTAAAATGTTGGAGGAGCATCAGGAATTTATTTTAAAGGTTTTGATAATGATTAAGGTTTTGATTCCTTTATATTATAAAACCTAATTTTCATTTAAAAAAACACAAGGAACCAATACACATAGTAGATTACATTCTCAGGTGTTTCCATTAAATTCTAAACATTGTGCAAAATACTTAATAACCCATAATTTACAAGAAGGGCTATCTTGATTTCATACTGAATTTCTAAATGGTTAATCAAAACCAAATATAACTAAGAGTTAGATAGAGAATATTGAAACACAATAAGGATCAGACGAAATAACAATAATAAAGTAAAACATCTATCTATTTCTCTGTTTAATAGAAGATTGTAAATTCTCACAAATCCAATTATTATTGTAAAGAATATATTTAAACAAGTGAGTACGATTATTGTCTAATTACTACTTAATCTCTTAAATATATTATTCAATTTACCAAACCAGTTACAACTGCAAGCAACAAGAGTTCCGATAAAAGTATTTCAAATATTTTTTATTTCATTTATATCATTAAAAATGGTAAGCAAAAACATATTATGTAGTCTATTCGAGACCCTTATCACCAATTACCAATGATCTTTTTTGATGGCTAAAAGAAGAATGTTATCAAAGTCTTTGGCAGTAATTTTATTATTTCACTTTAGACAACTGCAAAAATAATCATCAATTTAACATAGGTTGGGATGTTCCATCTATAGGGGCAGTCTAAAGAGTATCCAATAAAGTAGGAAATGAAACTGGATTTGTAATTCCTGACTACACAGTTATCACTTACAAAAATATTAATAAAGATTCTTAAACACAAAATCCTTAATCTAATTTACAATTACCTAATAAATTTGTAGCTTTGGCTTAAAAAAACTTAATCTAAGATAATTACAATAATGAAATTAAAATCTAAAGAAGCATTGATAATAGCATTGAAAAATTTAAGTCTGAGGAAACACTTAAAGAGCAAACTAATAAATAAATCAGAGACATCTTAGCTAAATAAAGAAGAGAAAACTAGTAAAATTTAAAATACAAATCTTGATTTAGTTTCATGAAAATTACTATTTTATGATCATTATAAAATATTTATAACAATGATACGTATTTTCTGTTTTCTTAATAAATCGTTGTTTTTTACTATGTAGTTAGTTGATTTCATCAAAGTTAATAATAATGCTAAATATTAATATTATTTTAATTATTTAAGATGAATGAAAAAGAAGACACTATTTATTAATCTTTTATAAATTCAGAAGGAAGTTTACCATATGAAAATCAGTTTGAATAATGTTAATAATGTGTATAACTATAGCAATATGTTTATTAATTGGAATAGGAAATTACAGAGTTAAATAAAATCATGTAAACATAAGTAAATATTAAAAGAGAAATAGTCAAAGAACTAAAAACCTTAAAACATACAGATACCTAAAAAATTATCGTTTTGTAAATTGTAAGGAATCAGTATGAAACATCACAGTAATCATCATTTAAGCAAGAGTCTTAATGAAGATTAAAACTAAAACACAAAAAGTATGTTCACAAGTTCTGGACATTTGAAGAGAAAGATTTTTGATGAAGTAGAAGAAAAGACCAGCACTAAAGCCCTTTAATTTTATAAATTATGAAATTTAATATAAGATAATCATATGAATGATTAGTTCAAAAATTCTTCATATTACTAGAATGTGATCTTTGAGGAGCAATTCTATAATTGACATAAGAGATTGAGGGATGATGACAATTGACTATTTACTCAACAATTCTATTGGGACTTCTACCAATTCTACTTTTGTTTTAATCTTATCGAAAAGTAGATAATTGCATGTGGAGAGATTCAATCATCGAATCCTTATTTAATAATTAGATTTTTGTGTTTTCCATATCTATTCTTATTTATTATTGCTATTTGATTTAATCTTATAAACTTAATCTATTTTTTAATAGTTAATCTTAGAAAAATTGATTTTCTTTCTCTAACTTTCTAATCTAAATAAGAAGTTCTGAAATATTGGTTTAATATTTCTTATTTGAGTCTTTCAAAATTTATATTTAATCTAAATAATGGATAACTTTACTTTATAAACTTAAAATCACTTAAGATTATTGAGATAGTTATTATTGCAACTTAATGATAGTTTCTTTATCCTTATCTTTATTCTATTGCTCTAACAAGTTTACGAAACATAATTAATTATTAGCTAATCTGTCAAGATGTAAGCATTACTTAATTTCATCTCTACTTTCGAATCGAAAATAGAATCTTAACTGATTTTCCTGTTTGAATAATTTTCGGTTGACTTATCATCTTTCTTAGATGGACTTATAACTTCTTCATGGAAGAAATATCTTTTCTAAGTAATCATTTTAAAAATCAAATACTTCTTTTGCTTGAGGGGAATTTGGTTCAACGAAGGAAGGAGAAGCTAAAGCTTAGTTTGAATCTACAAACATTTCATGTATTTAGTGCTTTGTCAGATAAACATGAGAATTCATATAGGAAAAATTATTAAAATAATTAATCTTCACTTTCTTTAAAGACTTAAATGATTGTAATTGGATTAAAGTGTTTATACGGGCATTTCATTAATTAATTAATTTAAATGGATCTCTTTGATGATACTAATCCTTATTACAAATAAGCATTATCTATGCCTACCTTCGAACCAGTTTTTAGACGTGTTACTACTTACAATTAAACTTAGAATAGAAATATTAATTGGGTCTTTTTATAACCTATTTCATGCACACTTTTACATAGTGAACAAGATTACATTGAAAGTGGGCGAGATAAATTTAATGAAAGCATGCTTACTGTTTATAACACACCAGATTCATAAAGGGAATTCGATTTATTAAGTGATGTTAAAAAATTTAAGGCTACTAAAATTTCAGCTAGAAATAAGAAAGAACTTAAATTTCCTAAAGAATTTGATAAAGTATTTGAAGAATTAGATAAAGAGTATTAATTGGAATTTCATTTACAAAGAGGTGTTAATCCTTTTTTACACTAACCTAATTATATATAACCAATAACAGTATATGGATAATTCTCAAATTAAAAAAATCTAAAAAGTATATCAGGAATTATTGAAAAATGCTATTTACCAAATATGATTCGTATTTGTTGTAAGTTTAATGATGATGAATTAAACTACAATTTTAAAGGGAGATTTAATAATGTAAAAATCATCTAAAATTTGGAAGAAGAAGAGACAATATAAATTCTTTACTTAAAAGTAAATGAATAGTAGAATGTTGGGGAATAATTTTGGTACTTTGTTTCTTTAATTTATAAAAAACTTGATGATGGAGGATGCTTTGTTTTTGAAATGAAAAATTTAGCTGATTCTGCCTTTACATAATTTTTATATCTATTTCAAAAATTGTTTTTAATTATTTCACTTGATCATAGTGATATTTTAACTTTGAGTCCTAAAATTAGTTGTTTTGGTTTTTAAAGAAAAAGTTCTATTGGACTTTTAAATAAGGTAATAAAGAATGCAGATGAGATTAAGAATAATAATTATAATATTTTTAGAATTAGGTAATTGACTCAAGATCATAAATTTGAGCATTATTTAGTTTCATTTTATCGATAATATTTGATGAAAATCTCATAATAAATAAAATTAATTTAACATTTTGAGAAAGGAGGAGAAATAAATTATCAAGAATTTATTTAAGAATGTGAGAAAATGAAGGAAAAGGAAAAGAAAAAAAAGTATAATTAACCAAATGATTAACCTCATTTTCAAAGAGAGCCTAGAAATGGAAACAATCAAAAACCGTAATCACCAAAAGTTTTGAATAAAAATTTAGATTTAAATATAACAGGTCCTCTAATGGAATTTAAATCTTATCAACCTAAGAGAGATTACCTTAAGAAATAGAAAAGTCCACCAAAATAAATGAGTAAGGAAGAAAGAAATAAAATGGAATTAGAGAAGTTGATTAACTAAGGCAATTAGAAGAAATAGACAACAAAATAAATTTAATAAAAAAACTATGAGGAGCAATTAGGATTAAGTGGTAATAAGAAAAGTTATAAGACCACTGCTAAAGATAGAAAAAAGAAGCATTGAATTTATATATAATTGAAAGAATAATTATTATTAAAACGGATGAATTCATATTTTTGATAAGAAATTAATATGCTCAATTAATATGAGACTATCGAATAATAAGGAGTAGCTTTGAGCATGCCTGAATATCCCACATCATCTGAGATCTAAGACGTTGTTTTAAAAGAAAAGTAGTCTCATTTATCAGACATGTAAAGTAATTCAGTATTATAAATAGATTATTCCTTCTAATTATCATATTTTATTTGATTGTAGTGATTGCTTTTTTTGTAGCATTTGGGATATCACAAGAGTTTAGAAGATTTCTGTTTGACTTTTTTAATGACAATTATAAAAATGGTAAATTTTGATATTGATTATAAATAAAGATGTTTATGGGTTACTGTATATTGGAGCTTTTGAATTTTGTTTGATAATAACTGGATTTGATATATTTTTGATGGACATTTTTTTTGGATTTTTTATACGACCATATTTAACAGCATTTAGTTTGTTGTTTGCAACTAAAATGGCTGGAAAGTAAAATTAATAAGAATTTTTAGATTTTTATGTTTTGCATTGGTAAAATATTGTTTCAGAGAAGAAATATATTAAGCTTTTAAAGGAAATATATTTTTCAAAACATTTTATATAGCAGCTCAATTAAACCCAATAAAAATATTAGCAATTTTGTAGTTGATCACACTTCCAACAGCATTTAAGACATATGTTGTTGGAGTATTTGCAATTAGTACATTATAATACTTAATGGTTACATCAATTAGTAATTTTTTATGGACTGGATTTTGGGTTCATGTTGGTGTTCAAGCAAAGAATGTAAAAACATTTATAGAGACTGGAAAATCATCAGATATTATGCCTTTATAAGTGTAAATTATAATATTTTTTGGTGGAATAGGTGCTCTTGGATATTTATTGAAACTTACTAATTAAGTTTACTAAAATATTGTATAAGAAGTTCAAAGTTTAGAGAAGGATAAAAAATGAATCAATTTAATAATATATATATTAAATTATTATAAATTTATGAAATCACCTGTTCGTAAAGAAAAGAAACATTAAACTCACAATCCATCTTCTTAATAGGATTAATTTCAATAGAAGTTACTTTATCCAGGATAGATTATAGCAGGAAGATTTAAATTAATAGAGAAAGTTGGACAAGGTAGTTTTGGATCGATTTTTAAGACAGAAAATATAGAGACAGGTGAGATATGTGCATCAAAATTTGAAAAGAGAGAATCAGCAAAAAATAATGTAAGTTTACTGGTAAGAGAAATAAAGATTTTATTGGAATTAAAAGGGATAGCAGGTATAAAATTGAATTATGTAAGGGTTTCCTTAGATTCTACATTATGGAAGAGATGAGAATTATAATTTCTTTATGATAACATATTTGGGTTAGAATTTGGAATATTTGATTAGAAAAACTAAGAAGTTCTCAAAAATGAATTGTTTAAGAATTGGATTACAATTATTAGATAGATTAGAATAATTACATTTGAAGAATTTAATTCATAGAGATTTGAAACCAGAAAATATCGTTATAGGATGGTAAGATATTGATATTGTCTATCTAATTGATTTTGGATTATCTAAATATTACAAAGATAACAATGGAAATCATATACCAATGGTTGATAAGAAAGGTATAATTGGAACTGCTAGATATGCTAGTATTGGAGCACATTTAGGTGAAATATTTTCAATGTAATTTTAGGTAGAGAGTAATCAAGAAGAGATGACTTAGAATCATTGGCATATGTATTAATATATCTGAATAGAGGTAAATTACCATGGATGAATTTACCTATACAAGATAAATCTCTTAAATATACAAAAATACTTGAATAAAAATAAACTATTTCTCATGAAAAGTTGTGTGATAATCTACCTAAATGTTATTATCTTTTATTACAACATGCTAAATCTCGAGAATATACTGAATAACCTAATTATGCATTTATTAAAGAGTAATTTTCAAAAGCATTAGGTGATTTAGAATATATTGATAACATTTCTTTTGATTGGGAGAAACTACCTGAAATGAAATCTAAAAAATCAAGATAATCTAATTCACAAAAAAAAAAAACTGAGAAAAAACCAAGAATCTCCATTACCAAAGAATAAACCATCGTTTAAGAAACTAAACAACAATAACAACAACTTCCTTTGTAAATTATTTAATAATAAACTCAACAAAAAAGTCAGGTTTCCTTTCTCAATGTGCCTGATTTAGATAGTTAATCACCAGATAAATAATCAGGACTTGAGAGAAAAAGTAGAGGGGTAATATATTATTAATCATTCAGTATTTAAGTAGAGGTAGTGCAGGAACTACTAGATTAATGAATTATGATCTTAGTTAAATAGAAGAAGATGAAAATGATGGAGATAATCAAAATCATACTCCTTATCTTAATTAAAAAAAATAGAGAAAGGATTTAAAAAGTTTTTCAGTCATGTCAGAAAACCAAGTATTAAAATTTACTTCATTTTGCAAACAAGCTGGTAAAAACAATATAAAAGAACAACAAATTCAAGAATTGAATTAAATCTATGGTTCATTTGATAATCTAGACTTAATTGCAGATGATGAAATACACATATAATTTAATAATATTGGAGCTTTTTCCTTTAAAAAACATTGAATCTATATTTATACTATTAAAATTTTCTAAAACTTTTAATCAAACCATTAAAAATGTATTGCACATATTTAATTTTAATTTATAATGATATTTTATTGCTGCAGAATGCAATCCTAAAGATCTAGATGGAATACAAACAATATGAATCGTAAAAATCTGTGGTCATCAAATTAAAAAGAAAATATTAAAAAATAAGACTCTTCTTCTGAAGAAGAGGAAGATGAACTCAAAAATAATTAAAATGATTAAGAATTAGAAGAGTTTAAAAAAAGAATGCAGAGTGCACCTCCAAGATATTATTTAGTTCGATTAGATGAAGATGAGGAATAATCCTCCAATTAATAATTGTCAGAAGTTCAAGAGTAAATAGAGGAATAAGATGAATAAGATAATACAACAAGATTATCAGAAGAATCTTCTATTATTTAGGAAAATGAAATAGTACCAGACGATAGACCCAATATAAAACCAAAATCGTTAGAACCTTTCATCTTTAAAAAACGATATTCTACAACCAACTAATGATAATATATAAAATTATTTTAGTATTCAAAATATATTTATATTTTTTTCATATTAAATAATAATATCTGCTTGATTTATTGCATTTCAAGACCATACTCTAAAAACATAGAAACATAGCATTACAAAAATTCTTCTTTTATAAATTTGATACAAAATCACAAGAAACAAATGATAATTCTATTCATAATCTTTATATTGCTAACAAAATGATGCTTAGCAAATTAATTAACACTCTCACAACATTAATCATCCAATATTTAAACATATCTGACTTCAACCATTTAAGATAAAGATGATTAATTTTATTCTTACAGAGAATTATTATAAAAAAAATTGTCAAAAAGAAGACTTAATAGAAATTACGAATTAGAACAAAAAACTAGGGAAACCATTTCGATGTAATAATCAATTCATGTGCCTGTTTAAATTGAACCTTAATAAATTTAAATATATAGTAGTAGGACTCTATTAAAAGTTTCTAAATCAACTACTCAAAACTAAAAATAGATCAATCCATTAATAGATAACTCTTCTTAGAATGAAATCCCTAATGGATCATATAAATTTAAAAAAAAAGGAAATCTTATAAGATAAAAATTTAAATGAAAATATCGTAGATGATCAAACCATGATTCATATACCGATGAAATTCGAACCATTCAAGTTTAAAAATTTTTAATAATGACGAAATTCTTACTTGTATATTAATCAGGATTAATTATCTTTTATATTTAAATAAACTAACAGTCTAAATTTAAGCAACTTCAATTTACCAATAATTGATAATTCTAATCTTTTTTGATAAAAATTAATTATACTGAATATTATTCTTTTTTTTTATAATCATTACCTAATAAATTAAATAATTATGTCGAGCCAATTTCTCAGTCAATAATCAGAATATATTTATTTTTTAAATATATATCAAAATACAATTAAATTCACCATTTTTTCTTAAGGAATCCAACTACTTTGCTAGATATACCACTATCTTCTTATTAATTTGGTTATTATTATTGTTTTGTATTTGTGGAATTCTCACTAAAATATGAATAAAAATATTACTTTAAGGAAGTTTCAAAAAAGTCTTTCATTTCGGTCAAATTCATTAATAAATCTTGATAATTAGAGCTAGAATATTAATCTTATAGTACTTATCTTTAAATTGTTTCATGAATTTTAGAGTCTCTTCTAAAGTGTTGAACATTTCTTCTGCCTATTAAATAGAAATCGATATCGAATTTTTAACTGTAGTTTAAGTTTTATCCTTTTTGAGTTATTATTATTGTTCTTCTACTTAAAACTATGATTTAATAGTCTTCGTATTAATACTAGATAAACTGGAATCAAAGAAATTTGTAGTGATTGAAGATTAATTACTATTTTAAACATTTGTTTGTGACTATTATATTGATTGTTAGGGTTATGTTGATTATGATTGTTGCTAGGGTTTTTATTATTGAGGTATTTTAGTAGGCTATAATGGATTAATGAATTATTATTAATTTGAATTTGATTTTTGAGGAGAAGTATCATCCTTGTAAACCAAATCTACATCTCCTTTCATTTTAAATTAAGGTTTTTCAGAAGCAATCTTTACAACATTAACATCCACTCCTTCAACTTTATCTGTAGGTTATGCAAAAAAAACAGGATTAAACTGTTTATCTGAATATATTGCTGGTTAATTTGATTCATTTTAGTCATCTAAATTAGTTGCAGATTTTTAATTCAGTAAAATGGCTCTCACATTGATGGCAGCTTCAATTAGAGCTGGCAAATTAGAAATTGGAGGATATTTGAGAAATCTTTGATAACATTGACTCGAATCTTCCATTTCCATTACTATTTAAATTAATAATAATTACAAGGTTATTTCACATAAATTATCATTGCAATAGCTATACAATCAACAAAGAATAGAGTTTCTGTTTTTTACTCATAAAAATCATAAAAAATTGCATCCCATGCATAAAATGATTCTATTAAATGCAATTCCCTTGTAAACATACATCTATAGAAATTATAATTTATAATACCTAATCCATTTTAATAGAAATATTTGGAATTCTACTTGTAACAATTTAAGATGCCTAAATAAAGGCATTTCCACTTATTTTAAAAAGATGTCTTGAATTTTAGAAACTCTTGTTAAAATAGCACTTGGTTTTTTACTTTACAATTTAATTTTTTAAGCTTCAGTATAATTTGGTCTAAACATTTCCATATGTTATGCATCATTCATCAACTTTTAGAAAAGAGTGTAGATATCAGCTTCAGCATATTCCCATGAATTAAATTGTAATAAGATTTTCTTATCTTCCTCTTAAGCCTTTATAATATATAAATTTATACTCCTTGTATTTTATCAATCTCATCTGAATATAGGGCTTCTCTAAAATAAACATAAATCAAAGATGCTGCAACTTCATTCATTCCTTATCTATATGAAATTTCACTATTCTCTCTGCTCCAAATAAATAAAACACTAGTTAATATTTGCAACACCTTCCTATTTGTAAAAAATTAATTCTCTTAATATGTTCTTTCGACATCCTTTTTTATTTCATTTCTTAATTCAGCGTCTTCCATAGGGTTTTATGTTGATGTCTTAATTTTAGATCCTCCTCCTAATGGTCCTCCCAAGGGGCCACCTAAAGGACCTCCCAAAGGACCTTTTTTTGGCTAATCTTCAATTTTAATTGTTGATGACGCTTCTTAAGATCTCGAATACTTTTACTCTAATTATTTATATGTTTCTCTTGTCTTTGTTAATTTATCTATCTTATCAAAGACAGTGTCTTCTATTGAATAAATACTATGCTTAAACTTAAAAATACTTAAAAAACAATCTCCATAAATTAAATCTCTATCCAGTATTCTCCATATGACAATATTTTATTAAAGTTTCAATGTCTGAAATGTCATTGTTAATCATATATTTGTGAAAGTTCTTTACATTAAAATGATGTCCACTTATATTATATTACCAAATGATATATACATAAATTTTTTGAGTTGTGTAATTGCTTCCATTAAAATAATTATATTTATTTATTCATTTTTTCAAACAAGAACTATATATTTCAAATTCCTTTTGGCATTACTTCTCTTCCACTTCATATCCTTTTTGACTTGCACAAATAGCATATTGAATTGCTTCAAATTTGCATTTTTGTAAATCTTAATTCATTTTTGCCAATCCTGGTCTTAATTTTATTGGCACATAAGTGATCGGCTTAAAATTCATTTATTTAATTCAATTAATATAATAATTTTTTATCTTCTGAATGTTTATACATCAAAACTTTCAAAATCTAACTTTTCATTTACACACTTTCCTTTTTATAGATTTTGATCATAACAAGTTTATTTATACATCAATAATTTTATTGATTTTTTTTATTTTATGAACAAATTCAAAAGGTTAATGATTATCCAAATTTCTCAAATCTTCTAAATAAGCCATAGTTTAGATAGTTTTAAAGAATCGTTTTCATTCTTAAATCATAAAATCATATATCTTTTTCATACTATCTCACTAACTGATAATTTTCACCATTAATTAAACTATAAATTCTTACAAATCTTATCACTCTCAACCTTTTTCCTTTAGTAATAATTTTTTAATTTATTTAATAATTCTTTGAAATTGAAAATTTCAATTTAGAAAATACTTATGAAAAGCTCTGAAATTATTGAACTTGAAGGTAGAATGAATGTATTTTGAAACAGGTAAATAACAATTTAAAGATTAAATAAGTTTCTTGCTTAATAAATTAAGATAAATGATTAATAATATTTGAATTTTTAGCATAATTAATTATCAGAAAAATTATTTAATTAGAGTGCAATATCAATTAATACTAATTGAGGAATAAGCAATTATAGAAAGTGCTATGATTATTAAATATTTACAATAATTTTAGTAACAATACAACCATTTATTACTTTTAATAAATAAACACTCAGGATAAAGTTAAAATCATTGATAGGAGGAGCTTAAAAAATAAACTAAAATTCATTAAGAAGAAATTAACCAACCAAAATTAGAAATTAGTATATAATTATAAATACTCTTTGAAACTAAAAATTGATATAATTGTCTATTATGAAAAATAATTAATAGTAATTAGAAAATTTCAGAAGAATATTTTGAATTTGAAAATATAAGATTTTGTTTCGAGTTTATATAGTTTATATAATATTTTTTTCTGGTTATTTGATGATTTCATTAGGCTTCAAAATTTTAAATAAATAAATAAGTTGAGTATTCAATCTAAATTTTCAAGAAATAAAAAGATCTAACTCAAATTCTAATAAAAAAACAAACTAAATTAGACATACGTAAATAATTCTGCTGGGTTTTGAAAAGCAACTAACATTAGTTCTAAAAATTTTGATGAAACAAAAAAAATAATTGGTTTAATAAAAAGAAGTACAAAAATAAATATTTGCTTCATAACTAGATGAATTGAATTAAATGTTTAAAGAGTTATTAATAACTGGAGTTATTTTATTATTTGATTTTATAGAGCAGATAAAATATCAATAAATAGTCAAATTCTTACAAAAAGGAAGCTATCTTATGCTTAGAACACTTATTTGTGTAATCAAATTTAATTTTAAAGAGATTTAAAATTTAACTTGATTATTATTAGGATAAAGTTGAATTAAGATATTTCTGAACTTTTAAATAATTTGGAAACATTAAATAAATCTAAAATTTTGCATAAAGATTATATTAGATTAAGGAGATGATACTCTTGAATAATATTAATGGGTTTTATTGAAGAAAGATTAATAATATTGATAGAAAAACAAATTTAATATTCCCATATTAATTTTTAAAGACCAACATTTATGTATGATTTTTTATAATTTTGCAAGAAAAAAATATGCCTATCCATATTCAGATAAAGATTTAACTATAAAATAAATAATTTAAAATGATATAGTTGAATTTATTGATAATATAATAAATAAAAAATTTTAGAAATTTAGAGAGCAGATAAAAGTGAAAATTTATAAAGAAAATTAGGAAGTGTTTAAGACTTAAGCAATCATTTGGGGATTTTAAATTCTCAGATTTGCTAATTTATATTTAAATTTACACTATCTATTATAAATTATTTAAAGAATGAATAAATTTCTTCTAACTTTCAAGGACAAAAAGATAGAAAAACAATACTAGGATAATAAATTAAAAACTCTTCAACAACCAATTTTTTATTGGCTTCTTGCTATGACTATTGCTTTAAACCTATTAAAAGTGATTCTCGACTATACATATTATTAAGTAAACAATTAAAGTTGGATGAATATAAGTTTCTTATCTTTAGCAGTAATTGAATTATTCTTAGCATGCTATAAAAAATAGTACATCAAGTACGCTTTAATAATTTCAAACCTTTCAGCAGGATTGTTACAAATTAATTTTAATGAAACTAATACTTTCCCTTAGGAATATTATGCTTATGGTAGCTATTATGCCATGCTCTCTGTAGTTGTTTATTTTATGACTGATTTTCCATATAGCCTTTTTTAGGTAATTGTCCATTTGAGTATGAAAATCTTTTTTACAACCACATAGAGTCAAAGAATAGATATGTTAGGAGTAGTGCTGGGACTTATTACAAGTGTGTTCTTAGTGTTAACATTATATATTTGTGATTGGAATTCTAGAAGACAATTCTTACTAAACTTGAGAGAAGTTAGATGGGAAGAGTCTTTACCTATTATTATCAAAAAACCTTTTTTTTTATTTTCATATTAGGATAAAAATATGTCCTTCTAAGTCAATAGATCATTCAATCACGAATTTTTTCCCTATTATAATTTGGAAGATTGCAAAGGTTGTAATTTCAGGTATTTTTTAAGAATGTGCAAAGTGGATAATAATAATTTAGAAATTTATCTATTTGATAAAAAAAATGAAAAGCTAGATTTTGATTTGGTGTACAAAAATAAAACTCATAGATTTGAACTTAGAATTTGTTCAATAGGATTGGATAAAATTAATTATCTTGTAATATTGGAGAAACTAAAACTATTGACGTAAAGTTACATTCCTAAATAAACTAATCTTCGTCAAAAGATATTTCAAATAAAAAAGACCCAAATAAAATATTAACATTAAAAACATTTCTTACTTGGTGTATTTTCAATGTTTCTCTATAACAACAAAGAAATTTCTTCAGTAAATTTAGTTGATATACTTTAAAAATTTAGCAGTAGATATTATATCATCTCTAAATAAAAAATAAAAATCATTTTCTCAGATAGAGCAATTTACTAAATAATCACGTATAAACATTAGTTAATAATATTTTTAATATAACTATTTGATTGTTTGATTAATAATTAAGGAAATTCCGATCATGAAATTAAATTGTTTTTAAATCAAGAATTATATTCTATTCGGTCCAAAATTTTTGTATCTTAGAGGTAATCATTTTAAGAACAATACAAATAAAATTTTTTCATCTAGGAGATACAAAAGAATATTTTATCTGATGATATTGATGAGAGATTAGAATTAAGTTTCTTGAAATAAGTTTAAAATCCCTAACCTTTATTTTGAGTTGATATATTTTGATTTGATTCTGCTTGCTAGTATTTTATATTGAGTATATAAATTTATAGTTATTTCTCGTTTATAATTTTGATGATTTTTTTTATTTTATAATTAAAATATCCTTTTATATTGCTTGAACACAGATTCCTTAAAAATTGTTATCTTTTCTATTACTTAAATTTATGGAAGTAAAATAAATTAATTATAAATAACTAAAATATGGAACTATTAAAAAAATATTCAATTATTATCAATCAGTAATTTTAAGATTAATTTTCTTATAATCGAAATGAATCGCTACGAATATTTCTGCATACAATCGAATTGAGTTGAGGTCTTTTCATCTTCTAATCTGGATAAAAGGATCTTTCTTCAACAAATGATTAGGCTCGTATTCTTTTATTTGTTTAGAAATCAAAAAACTACTAATCTAATATTAGTAATTTTTGATTTTAATTAGTCTCATCCTTTTTGCACCTTCTAATTTTGGTCAAAGGAGACAAATCACGAATGATTTATTGTTAATTATAAGAAATCTTTAAAGCTTCAGGCAAATAAGGTGTATTTTCAATATTTTATTTATAATTCTTGGATTTTTTAAATTATTTCGATGGAGATTTGATTCCCATCTTTATACCTTGTACTCCTTACTCTAATGAGAAACAATATTCATAAGTAAGTTATTTTGGTAATTAGATTTTTCTAAGATTATCATTTACAAACAACTTATTAGTGAAATTTTACTCTCCCCTATAAGTCTGTAATTGTTTAGAGTTACGTTTAATAGCAGTTCCAAAAAACCCTTGATGATTCATTTTGCTAGCTTGGATATTTATTTATTAATAATTAATTGAATTGGTAATTGATTAATTTATAATCAATAGAATAATAATAAAAAAAAAAGTAAAAGAAGCAGTACGTTCAAAAGATTTAATTTCATTAATTGCATGAATTTGTTGAATTTTCAGTTGCAAAAGATGCCCACGGAATTGAGCCAGAACCTCAAAGAAATAACACATTTAATTGGCATAATATTAAGCAAAGCATCATCAACAATTATACTACTACTACAAAAGCCTCCCAGTAAAAAGAGAAATTCTATATTATTGAGGGAGAAATGGTGTCTATTAAGTTATTTACACGAAAACTTAAGATATTATATTTCCTATTTGTATAAGCGATATGACATTGTAATTCCTTATATTATATAATGTGGCTTTATTTATTGTCTTCCATATTATTAAAGACACAAATTGTAAAGTAAATTCATAATTTTTTAACAATTTAGTAGAATTAAATTAAAAGTGTTCCCTTTGTGAAGAATTGGCAATACTGAGTGAATTAAAGTCTGTTAAAATATCAAATATAAAATAAAAAATGTTGGAGATCGAGTATTTAAATCAAAATTAAGTATTTTAAAATGAAACCTAATTATATGTTAATGGAAAAAAGTCATTTATTTAAATGAGAACTTTAATTTCAAATGAATCCTATGTTATGAGGATTTTTGAGAAAGAAAATTAATAACACCAAAAGTAAGGTTAATATTTACTCCAGTTATTCCGATTTTTGTGAAACTGAAATTTAGGAGCCAGTTTAATTTCTTTTTAAAAAACAAGATAAGTTACCAAATAAAGAATCTTAATCTTTAATCTGAAATTGCATTTCAATTATCTCCTTCAAAAAACGAAATAATTTTTCAAGATTCAGATGGTATACTCGGTTTTTTCCATCCTTTATGTCTTAAATATATGAATCTTTAATATGGAAATGATTATATCCTCAATAGATTCAATCATTATTGTTATAAAAGGATTAATTTATGCAGAAGGATCAGAAAATAGCTAGATATAAGTATATCTAAATAATTCAATATTAGATTTCTTTCTCTATATTCAATTACACACAGAAATCTATTTCAATGAGAAATATTTAAAGCATATTTTAAATAAAGAAAATATGAAGGATTATTAATGAGAGGTTAATAATAATAAAAATAACAATATTAATAATCTTAGTTAAGCTTATACCCAAACTTGAATAATAAAAGAAAGTAGATTTAAAATTTGAAACACAATAGTTGATAAAGAGAGAAACATTTAATCAAAATACTGTAAAATTAAGCGATTTAGACTTTTCTGTAATTTAAAAAAAAAAAAGAAAAAAAATCAGAAAGAGTGATATATATATTAATTAATTAAAAATAATGTAATAAGGACTTGCTTAAAAAAGATTATTGATGGATTTTAAGAAAATTTAGTAAGAAAATTAGGAGGATTTTATGGCTTCTCCTTAAGAAAATGATATATTCCATTGGGAAGCTGTGATATTTGGGTATGAGATTGAATCACAATTTTTAGACCAGAGTAAACACCATGGGAAGGAGGATGTTTTGAATTAAAATTGGCTTTTACAAATGATTATCCAACAAAGCCACCTGAAGTTAGATTTGCTCCACCAATATATCACCCAAATGTCTATCCAGATGGAAGAATTTGTTTAGATATTTTAAAAGAACAATGGACTCCAATTTTGGATGTTTGGGCAATTTTAACATCTATAAGATCACTTTTATGTGATCCAAACCCAAACTCACCTGCAAACCCAGAAGCCGCAAAAGTAATCGAAATTCTGTAAAATAGTTATATATGTCCGACAGGGCAGAATATTATAGAAGAGTAAAGGAATAAGTTGAGAAAACACTAAATGGAATTGAAGAAGAAAAATGATTAGATAATTTATTAACATCATCTATATCAGATGGTAAACCAACCATTTCTTAGAAGTTATCTTAAAGACCAGGCATTCCTTTGAGTAATATCGGAAGTATCATCATAAGAAGTCTTCCAAGTCCAATAGGTCCAACCTCCTTTTGCAGAAGTAATAGTTTCTCTATATTTGTTTCCAAAAGCCTTGAAACTCTCTTCACTAGCAAAAGGTGCGTTGCCTGTTGTGGCAATACTCCATTCTCCAATGAAAATTGGATTTCCTTTCCAAATATCGAGTTGATATTGAACTCCCGGAATTCCAATATTCAGAATTTAATCTTCATTCATGTCCTCATAACCCCAAATTAAATACTTATGCCATTCTTACCAAACATGAGTTTCTTTCAGAGCAAAGTCATTGAAATGATCTGGATCTTATTCATATAACAATGGAGCTACTGTAAGAATACAATCATTTCCTGTTGCTCTGATTTCTGAAATTGCAGTCAGATAATACTGTTTAAGGGTTGCTTCATCCGTTGTTCCAGAAGGTTCATTTAGTAATCCCACACCTAAAAAGGCAATTTCTTATTTGTATCTTTCAGCCAAGAATACTGCTAAATCAACAGTATTTCTGACATTTTCAGGATACAAGGCCCAATAAGATTGACCAGGAGCAGGTGGAGCACTATGATCTAAACCATTTTAAGATCCTTTGGCAGCATGTATTTGGACAAGGACTGCCACATTATGTTTGACAGCCCAATTTTTGATTAATAAATCTAAATACTTGAGACCATTAGGTGCAAATACTTTCCAATCTGATCCTCCTGTCTTATCAAACCCAGCTATCCAAAAGCCAATAGAGACTCTAACAGTATTAATTCCATATGACGCCAATTCTGCAATGTCTTGTTCTGTGATCCACTCCGATCTATGCTTTTCAAATCTATCATCTCCAACATTGTGACCCAAATAGGACATCAATCCATACTCACCATATCCATGATAATACTCTGGAACTCCTTCCCAAATCACAGAACTAGATGTCATCCAATGTTCAACTACTAGCCATCCACCTAAATTTACTCCTTTGCTTTTAACTTTTCCTGATCTAATATCTGGCTGGATATGAGACAATACAAATGTTATCATTAAACATAGTAAAATGAATCTCATAATTTATATATTTATATTTATAAAAAGTATGGCATAATTGGATGAAAATTATAATCCATGGGATTTAGAAAGCGACGACTACCGTATGCCAGGTTAGGTTATCAAAAATTACAATTCGCTTCACAATGAGCCACAACCAGTATCTATTTATATTTATACTATGCAAAAAAACCAGACTGTTCAGTTGAGAATCAAAGTAGATCCTCTGACACTGGCAATTATTTTAACCATGCTCCGCTTGTAACAAATAACCATTTTATTTTTTATACAGTTTACCGAAAAACCAAAGTGTACTCCTCTGGTTAAAAAAGAAATAATTGAATTAGAAGAAGAAGAGGCTCGAAAAATGAGAAGTCCTTCAAGTCATGAAGCTATTTCATTACAAACACCTAAAAGTGTGCGAAGCCAATAGCCTCAAAGAATTAAGGCAGTTGAAAAAGTTAGAGCACGTCTTTCGAAACCTTAAATACTTAGTAAGAACTAGATAAGATAAAGACAATTGTAAGAATTTATTGATGGATGGGGGTTTTCATTATTGATGGCTTTTGTGACTATCTATGCATTATTTGGTGACGATATTAGAATATTATCTGTAAATAAAGATGGGGATGATATTTTCTTTATTTTAACCACAGTCTGTATAATCTGTTTTACAGTAGAAATTTTACTAACTTGCATAGCCAATCCTTCTTATCTTTTTAATGTATTCAACTTTATCATTATTAGTTTTACTTTTGGCTTGATTTGATTTCTACTGCCACAATGATTTTAGATATTGGTTGGATTACAGATCATTGGTATGGTGAGGAAGGCAATGTATAAAATGCTGCTACCCTTAAAGCTTTAGGTAAAGCATCAAGAACAGCAAGAAAAGCAGCAAGAGTAATTCGAGTTATAAGGCTGGTTAGGTTAATTAAATTGTATAAACATGCAAGATAACAAATTGAAAGAGAAAAGGAAAAAAAAATAATTCTTTAAGAGATTTTGAAAGAAGACCAAAAGCTGAATACTTCATAGTAATAACAGCAATAGCAGAAAAAACAGAAATCAAATTATTTAATTAGAATCTCAATATTGTAGTAAAATCGTTAAAAAAAACAAAAATCAGAAGACTTGATTTAACAATTTCCCTATATCAATAAAAGTTAGCATTCTAGATCTTAATCACAACATGATTAAAATAGCAGTAACAACGAGCAACAGTTATAAAAATATTCTAATCTTTCATAAAATGAATAAATTAAAGAATCTCACGTTGGATCTTAATTATAAGACCTAGTTATGAGAAGAGTCATTACTATTATTATAGCAATTTTAATAAGTATTCCAATTCTTACTTTGGATACTTATTCTGAAATTATTAATAGTTATGACTCAGGAATATTTAGAATTAGTTAATTTAGAAAGGATTTTCCAATCACTGAAATGTTAACCAAATAATATGTTGAGTTCCATAATCATGAAATCTACCCAATTTTATCTGTCCTAGTACTTCAAGATGATTAAAATCAAAAATATACTGAATATAATTACACAACCAATCCTGATTGGTTTTAGCATACAGAAATGCTCAAAAGTCAATATCGATTTTAAGATTAATAGTATTTTGTAACTACAGATACAAATAATAAATTGATCACATATTCTATTTCAGATTTAGTTGATTACAATAAAATTAATGCAATACTATCTATTTTTCAAACCGTGTTCGTTTGTATAGTATTGGCTTTAAGTGCGGTATTATTCAATAAAGATGTTACAGAATTAATTATAGAACCTATTGAAACTATGATTCAAAAGATAGAGAGGATTGCCAATAATCCGCTTGAGGCTGTAAGCATTGAAGAGCAAGAGGATCTTATTACATAGGAATTAGAAAAAAACAATGATTTCAAAAAAATTAAATAGAGATAAATTGAATAGAGTTCAGAAACATATATTTTACAGAAACTCTTAATGAAAATAGGTGCTTTATTAGCAGTTGGTTTTGGAGAGGCAGGTTCAGAAATCATTGCAGAAAATATTAAGAAAGGTGGAAGCGTTGATCCTATGATACCTGGAAAAAAAGTGCTTGCGATATTTGGTTTTTGTGACATTCGTAATTTCACAGATGCAACTGAAGTATTATAAGAAGATGTTATGGTTTTTGTTAATGAAATTGCAGAAATAGTTCATTTTACAGTTGATAATTATGGAGGATCAGCTAATAAAAATATTGGGGATGCATTTCTATTAGTATGGAAATATCCTGATATGAAATATCATGTTGATCCTTAAACAAATAAACTAGTTTTACATGAAGATCACAATGTTAAATAAATTGGAGATATGGCAGTTTTATCATTCTTGAAAATCATTATTTCTGTGTCTCTGTCAAAAAAATTGGAAAAATATAAAAAACATAAAGGTCTAAATGCTAGAATTAAAGATTATTGTGTACGTATGGGTTTTGGTTTGCATATGGGTTGGGGTATTGAAGGAGCAATAGGATCTTCTTTTAAAATTGATGCTTCATACTTAAGTCCAAATGTTAATATGGCCTCCAGATTAGAAGCCGCTACTAAATAATTTGGTACGAATATTCTAATTAGTGGAATTTTAAAGAGAAATTTGACATCTGCTTGTTAGAATTATATTAGATTGATTGATATTGTAACAGTTAAGGGAAGTATTGAACCTGTAGAATTATACACTGTAGACTTATCTATAAAAAATTTATTAAATAAATTTAAGGATCCAAATGATTTCTTTGATATTAATAAGAGGAATCCCGAGGAATAAAAGCAGTTTAGAGTTGTGAATAGATATAAAAGATAAATTTTAATTAAGAGTGTGGAAGATGATAAGATTCAACTTGCAGAACTTTTTGAAAAAGATGAAGATTTAATTATAGCTAGAGAACCTTATACTTCAGTATCAAAATCATTTTTAATAGGAATTTTATGATACTTGGATTTCAGGATTTAATTCTTATATCAGAGGAGAATGGGATGAAGCTTAAAAGATATTCATGAAAACGTTAGTAAATATAACAAAATAATTAAGACAATGATACCAGAACATAAAGATGGTCCATCTAATACATTGTTGGAAGTCATTCATTCAGCAGGAGGTAGAGCCCCATATGATTGGAAAGGATTTAGAGAGCTTACAGAAAAATGATTTTATTATTAATCATTACTAACATTTAGAATATATATATATTAATATTAAATCTAAATTTAAAATATACTTTAAAGGATATCAATCAATTTCAATATCTAAAGAACTCAATAATTTTTAACAAATTATCTTTCTCATCTATAAAGTTGATAAATAGCTTGATATTCCATCTTCTCCAACATCTGTTTCATCAAAATTACCTAAAAGTATTTTTTTACTTTATACCTTTCACTGTATTTATGGCTGGATCAGTAAAATAAATGTCAACACCTTAAATATCATTTACTATGTAATTATATTAACTCCTTTAATAAGTGAAATATGAAAAGGCTTAGGAAATAGCATTTAGCTCTGAATTTTCTTCACTAATATACCCATCATTATTGTTATATTTTTCAAAGTTTCCTTTAAAGAATCTTTCTGCAATCCAATATTTATCTAAAAATATAATAATTAATTTTACTTTAGTTTTCCTCTAATAGTAAAAAATCTGTGTATTAAACTTATTTTATTTTTGGATCTTTCTCCCTAATTTTATCGATAAATTCTTTCATCAAACTTTTAGCTATTAAGTGAGATCGGCAATCATTAACTGCATCCGCTTTACTTTAATAGGTGCCTTTTTCAATAGGAATCTTAACTACATAAATTTCCTAGCTATTATTTTTCTTTTTCATTAAATAAACTGCTTTCATCATACCAAATGCAAAAGGTGATTAGGTTCTAATACAATCCCAATCATTTTAAAATTTTAATTCAAAATCTTCAGATTAATATTTAATATCTTCAATTCTCTCTAATTTTTTTTCAAAAGAACTTTGCTTGAGCTCAACTGTGTAGACCTTACAATTAAAATTTTCGCATTTAACTCTTTTATCAAAATCTGAAATTTCTCCCCTTTTGCATAGCGCCTGTAATGCTCCATCAGTGCATTCTTTCACTCTTTAAACAGCTTCTTCATAATGCTTTTTATCTTCTATTGCATCCTAAATTGAAACTATTGGAGCTTCTCCCTATTTTTAACCTCCTTGATTAGAAATTTCTTTTTAAATATCTTGATTTATGTGGACCACCTCCTGCTTTAAATTTTTCATATCATTTAAGCCTTCTTCAAAATTTAACATTCTCGCTTATTAGTTGATTTTGGTTTTAGTCATTTTATTATCAGTTCCTATGATAAAAGCAGCCATTTTTTAAATTTATTGAACAAGTTCATGAGAAGAATTTTCCTAATCAAGTCCCTTAACTGAAAGAGTATGAAATAATTATGGAAATTTAAGTTTTGAATATATTTTTTCTAATTCACTGCACATTACTTTTGTTTCGTCATTAAATCTTATAAGTAAAAGGATAATATCTTTTTTCACTATTTCTCTGATTATATCTTCCATATCATCATTTGGCTTTGTATCGTAATCGCGTGAAAAAAAAAACCATGATTTATATTTTTTAGGGTGATGATATTTTTTTCCATGACAAGGTGAATTTGGAATTACTATGGCTAATTTGTATTTTTCAGTCCAGTTTAATTTAAGCATGTTTTACAGAGCTGCTTTCAGATCTTCTGGTTAATCCTTTTCATCTTTGAATAATTTTTATGACTTTAAAAATCCTGATAAAATATCAGCACTATCTGTAAAATCTTATTTATTCATTTTCAATGAACTCTTCTCGTAGGCATAACAAACTGCTCCCCAAAAAGATTCTCTATTTGTTGTGGCCTTAATTTATCTGCAGCATGTTTCTGTAGCTTTTATTATAGACTTACCTGTTTTTTCATTTGATCTAAAAATATGTAAACAATTTACTTATATAAATCCAGAACAAAACAACATTATATTTAACCAGCCTTTCTGATCAACTCAATCATTTTTTATTTACCCATATGATTAAGTTATTTTTATTTTTCTGTCTCTTCCATTTATTTTTATATTATTCTCTCTCTTTGTAATTGACGTTAATCTTCTTATTACTTCTTTACCGACTCCTATCTTTATTAAATTTCCCTAAGAAAGGTTGGGATGTCATTCCTAGGATCATTTTAAGTCCTATTTTAATTTTATTCTTCTAATTTTTATATTAAAGCTGAGCATTCAGTTTCAAAGTGAAGTGCCCTTTCTTTAAAAATTTTATTATCATTTTCAAGAATTTCATTTTGAGTTAGTATGTTTTTGTATTCATTAGTCAATTAAAAATTTTAGGCTTATAAATGCTTGTTTTCTTGAATCAATGTTTATTAATTTTGGTTCTATTAAGCTAATTATTTTTACAGATTTGTTACAACCTGTTCATGTGAGTTTTATTGCTAGTTGATTTAATTTAAACCATCAATCTATCTATTTTTAGTTTAAATTTCTTTTTCTCTTTTTTCTATTTCAAGTCTCTGTTCATTAATTATTTTTTCTAAATTTTTATTTTTTTCTTTTAACTATGTTGACTCTTATAACTAGTAGAATTAAGTCTAATTAGTTTAAGTTAAATTTTGTATTTAAATCTTATTTTCATTTTTTTAATAATCCATTTCATTTTATAATTTTTTAATTTCTGTTTAATATTATTTTTATAATTCTTAAATTTATTTTTCCTAATTTTATATTGTCTCTCTTTACTAGTCTAATTTTTTTTTAAACTCCTATTCTCTCATTTTATCACTATTTATTTCTTCATTTTATAGTTTTAATTCATTTGCAATTGTTGTCTTATCTTTTTAAAGTTTCTAGATTTAACTTTTTAAATTTTCAATTTATTATTCTTTCTCTTCTAATATCTGATTATGCATTAATTTCAATTTTTAAATTTCATCTTCTTTCTAATTAATTTCCTAATTTTTTTTATAATTCTCATTATCATTAATTGTCTAAATTTTAATTTAGGATGAATTAGGATAAGAAATTTGAGAAAATCTTTANATTATAGACTTACCTGTTTTTTCATTTGATCTAAAAATATGTAAACAATTTACTTATATAAATCCAGAACAAAACAACATTATATTTAACCAGCCTTTCTGATCAACTCAATCATTTTTTATTTACCCATATGATTAAGTTATTTTTATTTTTCTGTCTCTTCCATTTATTTTTATATTATTCTCTCTCTTTGTAATTGACGTTAATCTTCTTATTACTTCTTTACCGACTCCTATCTTTATTAAATTTCCCTAAGAAAGGTTGGGATGTCATTCCTAGGATCATTTTAAGTCCTATTTTAATTTTATTCTTCTAATTTTTATATTAAAGCTGAGCATTCAGTTTCAAAGTGAAGTGCCCTTTCTTTAAAAATTTTATTATCATTTTCAAGAATTTCATTTTGAGTTAGTATGTTTTTGTATTCATTAGTCAATTAAAAATTTTAGGCTTATAAATGCTTGTTTTCTTGAATCAATGTTTATTAATTTTGGTTCTATTAAGCTAATTATTTTTACAGATTTGTTACAACCTGTTCATGTGAGTTTTATTGCTAGTTGATTTAATTTAAACCATCAATCTATCTATTTTTAGTTTAAATTTCTTTTTCTCTTTTTTCTATTTCAAGTCTCTGTTCATTAATTATTTTTTCTAAATTTTTATTTTTTTCTTTTAACTATGTTGACTCTTATAACTAGTAGAATTAAGTCTAATTAGTTTAAGTTAAATTTTGTATTTAAATCTTATTTTCATTTTTTTAATAATCCATTTCATTTTATAATTTTTTAATTTCTGTTTAATATTATTTTTATAATTCTTAAATTTATTTTTCCTAATTTTATATTGTCTCTCTTTACTAGTCTAATTTTTTTTTAAACTCCTATTCTCTCATTTTATCACTATTTATTTCTTCATTTTATAGTTTTAATTCATTTGCAATTGTTGTCTTATCTTTTTAAAGTTTCTAGATTTAACTTTTTAAATTTTCAATTTATTATTCTTTCTCTTCTAATATCTGATTATGCATTAATTTCAATTTTTAAATTTCATCTTCTTTCTAATTAATTTCCTAATTTTTTTTATAATTCTCATTATCATTAATTGTCTAAATTTTAATTTAGGATGAATTAGGATAAGAAATTTGAGAAAATCTTTATTAATTAGGGAATGATGGCATTCCATATGACATATTTTACATATTTTAAGCGTGCTATGTCATTCCTGGCGGTATTGGATTTTGAGTCATACCACTTGGAGGCATACCACTTGGAGGCATACCACTTGGAGGCATACCGCTTGGAGGCATACCACTTGGAGGCATTGCCATATTTGATGATGGCATTGCAAATATTCCAGGAGACATAGACATTCCTAACCCAATCCCAGGTTAAAGCATATTATTTGGATGCATTACTATTCCTGTTGAATTCATACCTGGTGGAGGACCAAATTACATTCCAGGTTGAGGCATATTATTTAGAGGCATAGGCATTTATTATTATTAATTCATTCCTAGGGGTATTTAAAATTGAGGTCCAGAATTATATTAAAAGTTTTAGTATCCAGGAAGCATAGAAGATTTTCCATCCTATAATATATACACAATTCATTACTTATTAATTACTATAAGGTTATGGGAAATTATTTTAGGCCATAAAATCATTTTGCTTTTGTTGATATTATTGTGCATTTTAATCTTGCTAATCACCATTTTCTTTAGAAGGCTATTGAAATATAAAAAAATTTTACTATTGTATCTAATATTTAGGGTGGTTGAGAATTTAAGTAATTCATGTTTTTTGAATTCTATTAATATAAAAATATTAATGAATTCAATTTAATAATAAAACAATTATCGTAATTTTAATAGAAATAAATTATATTCTTAATTAAGATTAAGCTAATAAATGATATTTAGTTAATTAGGATTTATTACCAAAATATAAAATCCTTTTCCTTAATATTAAAAGGATTTATACTAATTTATATAAATTTAAGAAAAGGAAATGAATTATTATCATTGAGATTAAAGATTAAATGTAAGAATAAAATACCCAGAATTAGTTATAATAATAGATGAAGCATGGAAATTAAAAGAAAATGAACTTAGTCAATGAAAATAAGAAGCATAATTAAGATAATCAGAAGAATATATTAATAGATGTTGAAGAATTTATGATAGAGCTTGATTTTCTTGATTAAAAGTAAGAAAGGTAAGCAAAATAATAGAAAGGTTCAATTAATAAAATATATAACAAAATTGAGAATGTTGTTTAAGAAAAAAACAAACATAAAAATTTAGTTTTTGATTCTGATAGATAAGGGAACAGGTAAAAATTGCATAATCCTTAAAGTTCAGATAAAGATTAAAATAAACAATATGAAGAAGAAATGATTTAGGAGGAATAGAAGTAAGAAAAAGAGAAATAATATAAGACTGATTATATGATTGAAAACAGAAAAAAAGATTGTTAAGATTTATCAAATATTTAAAAGACATCTAAAGTTTTAATTATATAGGATGATTTAGAAGAAAATAAAACAGAAAAATTAAATTTAGTTTTTCAAACTTAAAAAAATGGAAATGAATGCTATAAACAAGTGTTAAATGAACAAAAATTAACATCAAATAATAAAATGGAATAGATAAAAGAAGCAAAATAATAAAATTTTGCAGAAGAATAGTCAGGTTAAAATTTGACCTGTTAATTTTAATCAAAATAGAATTAGCTGATGAAAATAAAGTAAAAAAATCCTTAAAAATTTGTGATTTAATCGAATGGCAATTCAAAAAAGCACAAAAAATTGGCAACTATGATAGTAGATGCTTATATGTAAACAGATGATACAAGTGATATACATGGATAAGAAATTCTAAACTTAATTATATCAGAATAAAATATGGTGTATTAGTTAAACCAGCTGCATGATAAAATATTAAGGTTGTTAAATAATTAGATTTGAATATAGAGTATAATTTATGTAATTTTTTAATAAACTATTTTTAAGCTTTGATTATAAAATTCATTTCTGAAATTTTATTTGCTTTATTTATTATATTAAAGAATGATTATTTTTGTGTATCATAACAAGTAAAAGATTAAGATAGTTTTATCGGAGCCTTCTTTATAGCTACTATATAAGCTTGTCTAAGAAAACCTAAAAGTAATTTAAATCTTAAAATTAAGTTACCATTTGATTTCGAACTTAGAGATAAGACAAATAAAATTGTATTTGATTTATAAGATGGATTAGAATTAAATGTAGTGGAAGTTGATACAACAAATTAATAAATCAAATCTAAAACTGCTAATGATCAAAAATCCTTTAGATTAGGTAGAGATAGAATACATTCATTAAATATATTAAGTTCCCAAAAGAAGTCATATTCAGATTTTTCTTCACCAAATGATTAAACTTAAATTTAATAAAATAAAAGAGAGCAAATAATTTAAAGAATGATGGAAGAGAAATTATATAGAGAAGAGTAACAGAAAATAAATTCAGATGGAAATAAGCTAATAAAGCAAATATAGAAAAGGATTAAGTTAAGAGAGTAAGTGATTAAATTGAAAGATGAAGCATTAAATCTTTCAGAATTAGAGAAAAAGAAGGTATAAATCATTTAATAAATTATAGATAATCTTGGCATAAAAGAGGGAACTAAGTTAGCCTATAAGATTAGATGTTTTGACTGAACATTAAAAACGATATGAAGAAGAAAAATTTCAAAAATTGAAATAAAGACAATAATAAAAGCAAGATCAAGATGAAGAATTTAAAATGAAAATGATAAAGTTTCCTAAAAGTTAAGCATTAGTTCGACTTGAAGAGGAATAAGCGAAGTTAAAACTTTCTCAATAATAAGCAGCAGAATAAAAAAAATTATTGAAATAAAAGCAATAAAAATATGGAGAATCAGTTAAGGATAGTTTTCTCAAAGAAATTCCAAAATATTCAATTTCACCAATTAAGCAAACATAAGAATAAAATAGCATTTAAAAATCTCAATTAGATATTGCTAAATAAAACATAAAGAAATTATAGAGCTTATTGAATGAAAAAAAAGTAGATAAAATATTAAAATTACCTGAGAGAAGAAGTGTAAATGATATTAGACAAAGAGGATAAAATTCTTTAATTGAAATGAAAAAAAGTGATAAAATAGATAACATCGAAAAACCTTATACAACAGATCATAAGAATTTAATATAAAAGCGATAAGCAATGAAATTAGGTCTAAATTCAGCAAACTTTCCATCATCTTTGAATGATATCAAGCCTATACATTTTGAAGAGAAGTATTAAAATGTGTTGAAATCCATAATGCAATTAGAATAAAAATGTAAGGAGAGAGAAAAAAGATTTATACTTAACAAGTAATAATAACTAGAAGAAGAGGAAAATGAAAAGTATATTGAGAGTTTAAGATAAAAATTAGCTTTGATTTGATTATATAAATTATTTTCATTTTTCTCAATTTTAAATATTTTTTATTTATAATTTAAAACTAATATTATAAAAGCAAAAGAGTAATATAAATATCGTTGTCGGCCATACTAAGCCTAAAGCACCGGATCCCATTCGAACTCCGAAGTTAAGCGGCTTAAGGCGAGGTTAGTACTAAGGTGGGGGACCGCTTGGGAAGTCCTCGTGTTGACAACCCTTTTTTATTTTTGATTATTAAAATAAATATTGAAGCAATTAAATATTTTATAAATTAAGAATTTAATAAATTCTTAAAGAATTATTGATTTATTTAAATATCAAGTTTTATTATAGAAATATAGGAAAATGCTCATTCTTTTCTTGAAATAATATTTGTTTATATAGATTGAATACTAGGAGAGGAACTAGAAAATTAACTGCTTTTCATTCTTTCTTTAAGATTGTTTGAACAATTATTTAATAGTTTTTAACTATTCATTTCATTGTTGAACTTATCCTTTTTATTCATTTAGCTAGTTTAATTCTAAAGCAACTCATTTTTTATTAAAAAAGGTTCTTTATTAAAAAAAAACTTTCTAATCGATAAATATACAGTAGTAAAAAATGAAAAATATATATAAAGACTCTCCATTAACATAGCAGGCAAAAAGTATGAAGTTGATTATGTAAATGTAACTAACACTTATAAGATGTGAACAAAAAATAGTAATATATAATAAAAATACTTAAGCAGGTTTCTAATTTTAAATGAGATCATATTTACTTTAATCTTTTCCATGTTTTTTTTTTTATTGAAATTTTGATAATAGAATGCAATATGATAACAATAGCCATAATAGATATGATGAACCAGTCAAGGTAGTTCAATATCAATAAACTAGAATTTAGTGTAAATAGTTTATTACGCGGTTGACACAAAATGAAATCATAAACATATAGTGGCATCGAGAGAACAGTGAATATAGAACTAAATAATGAGTTATTTAATAAGGGTATGTTAGATTTAGTTGATGAAGTGTTTGTAAATTCTTAGTAGTTCAAACTAAGAATGCCAATTTTGCCAAATAAATACAGTAATTAGTTAAGATATACAAACACATTATCAAGCCCTTGTAATTTACAATCACTGAAGGAATATCTAGTAACTTCGAGTGTTTGTAAAATGAGATTACTTGAAATAATAAGAGCAAAATAGCTAAAAAGTAATTTCCAATTACAATCAATTCTTGGATCTCTAAAATATAAAACGATATTCATGTTTTATTAATATTCCAAATGTGGGAAGTGAAAAAACTAGTGAGAATTTAAAGTATTATGCTATTTTTTCTTTTTCTTTTTGCACTTCTTCTTCTATTGTTTTTGTTAATTAGATCGTTTCAAACTTAATTCTTAGTTCTATTCTTCAAATTCATATAAAAACTCAGATAATTTATAATGTCGTACATCTTTTTGCTTAAGATCACTTAATTTAGGAGAGATACTGATTGATTGGTCAGGCACTTCATCAATTGTTGGCAATTATCTTTTAATAGTGTTTGGGATACTTTTCGATATTGATCTATCATATTTACTTAACAATCCTTTCTATTCTTAATTTCTCTTTTATTTTCAATTACTCATCATCCAAAGATTGATGACTAATCTCGTAAATTTGGGTTTTTTAGGCTTGTATCTAATCTTAATGTGCTAAAACATCTTAAGGATTCTAATTACTATTATCGCTTACCCTATTTTCTTAATCACCTTTATGGACTACAATTTAATCAAATCTAACAATAGCATCGTTTGAATTGATTTCAGTAGAAATCATAATATATTAATTAATTTATGAAGTTCTCAATACAAGGAAAGTATATTCTCTATAAAGATCAATTAATAAATGGCTATTTATGTATTGAGAATGGATTTATAGCTCACATTTTAGAATCTTATGATGAATTGCTAATTTAATAATACCCTATAAAATATGTCTACGAGAATTAGATCATTATGCCAGCAGCAATTGATACAAATGTGTCTCTTACTATTTGGGATCATATTGAAGATTTCACCAAGTAAGAGTTTCTTTAATTAGATTGGCAATTGTTGGTGGAGTTTCTCTTATTATTAATAAACCCTTCATTTTTGATATGGATTTAAATTCAAAGGAGACTTACATCAATTAGATAAAATAAATGAGTCTTAAGTCCTAGACAGACTTTATACAAATGGCCAAAGTTGATCATTTTTAGGATGTATTAAATTCTTATTTAAAGATATCAAGACATTTGATTTATTGAAATTAGGAGCATTTTGTTTTGATTGTCATTTAGTACAATCGTATTCAGGAACATATTGCAAAGACAACGAATAAATTATTTAAATAATTTAAAATCTACCAAGTAAATCATGCTTGTTTATCCACACTTAAAGTTCTTTAGATAAAGATTTGGGGATAACATCTCCATTTAGAAACAAGCCTTTTGATGAAAGATTAATGACATCATAATTAGATTTGATCGATACAGATGGAATATCTGGGTCATGTACAAGTGATGATGATTGTTTCTAAAACGATGACCTTCCATTTCTCACATAAATTAATTATTTAAATGAGAGCAACTCTCCTATAAAGGATATTGGTAAATTCTTTTTTTATTTTAGTTAAAAAATATAAAAATTAAGAAGAAAACAGAATATCAGATTTTGATGAGTAAAACGATGTTCTATCATCTCCAAAGTTATAGAGCAACATTTTTAAGTTCAAATCGAAATAAGTAACTGAATAATCATAATTATCATTAATAAGTAGAGCTGAATTAATTACATATTAAAGAGCTCCAAAAATGGAATTGGATTATAAATTTCCAAATGAAGATGAATTGGAGAATCAATAGAATTTTAAGTTAGATTCAAATAAATCTGATAATTATACTGTGAATGAAAATATTCTGATAAATTAGGATCAGGAATCTCCTTTAAGCATAAATAAGGCTTAGTAGGAATCCACAAGAAAAAACACCCCTTAAATTTCTGTTCAATCTTTTGATCTATCTTCTCCAGATAGTTCTTCTTTAAAATCACTTCATAGAATAAGATCTAGAGCATAAACTACATAAAGTTTATTGTATAGAAGATAATCAAAGAATGGATTTTCATTGATCTTACATTAAGTTGAAAACAAACCAAATCAAAAGAGATTTTTTAATTTTTCAGAATCAAGACCAAAATAAAACAATGACACTAGATTTAATAGAGATTATTTGTGTTTTTTAGCATTTAGACCAGCAATTTGGGAGCAATTAGCAATAAAAAAAGTAAAGAAAGCATTGAGATCCTAATTTAAATGTAATATTATATTTAATGGATATTCATCCTCCTTAGCTTTAGTAGAGATAAAAGAAATGATCAATAATTAAATTTTTAGTGATATTTCTTATCCATTTTTATTATTGGATAGTGAAGACATTTAAGATGGATTGACTAAATATAAATCTGATCCTCCAATAAGATAAAAATATGACAAGCAACTATTGTAAAAAGCAATATTATAAAATAATTGGATAAGTAGTATTTCAAGTTCTCATTTATATGTTGAGGAAAAATTCAAATTTATTGAATAAGGAGATTTTAGAAGAGCTGTTGGAGGTTTATGTAGTTTAGGCTGTACATTTTAAGCTTTATGGACAGCATTATTTTGTAAGAAGAATTAAGATCCCAAATTCATAAAACATGTTTTTCTTAAAAAAGATTCATCAAATCCTAGATATAAGAGAATGATTGAAAAACTAATTTAATTATAGTAATTAGCTTCATCTGGACCAGCCTAATATTTAAATTTATAAAACCGAGGAAGCATAGATGTAGGAAAAGTTGCTGATTTGGTTGTTTTCGATCCTTTGAAAGCATGGAAATTTAATTTCGATAAAATTAATCATCATTTCGCATTTTCAATAGAAGAACATATATTTAAGAATAAATTATTTTTAGGATCTGTTGATTATGTTTTTATTTAAGGTAATTATTACTATTATATGATTAGGGGAATTGATTCTAACTTAAGATAATTAAAATATCACTATTTCTAATAGAAAAGGATCCCAAGTATTCAATTGATTAGTTATAATTTTTACTAAAAATAAAAATTGTTTTCTTTTACAAGAAGTAAAATTCAAACTAATAACATATTTTTAATGATAATTTGTAAAATCTAAAATCACAAACATGAAAGCATAAGGCATTATTTTATTTCCTTTGCCTTAGTATCAGTGAAGGATTTTGAATCCAAACATTTCCTGGTGTTACCAGCATCATTCTTGCTTATATGATTTTCACAATCAGAAATATAGTTCAATTATTCCTCACAAGATTATTTGCAATCTTTTGATTAAGTCCAACATTTTGAAGAATCTAAAAGGGCCTCTGAAAAACACTCAGAAATGTTAGATTACGCTTTTATATGATTTAGTTTCCCTTACATAATATTGCATTATCTTACTAAACAATCAAACAAATCTAATATAATATAATACCATTTAAAATACCTGACAATAAGGCATTACTAATTTAAATAAAACCCATATTAACGCAATGACTTTCATAAATAGAACTTCCCCCTTGAATAATGCAATTTCTAAAAAGATCATCAAATTAATTATTGCAATCAATGTCATCAAAGCATTTTGTATATTGATTTTTACATTTTAGAGTTGAAGACAATGACTACATTATACAACTTCTGACTTCATCGTTAGTTTCTTTGGCATTGATGAATATGGAAAGTACGGCTATTATAAAATAAATTTTCATTTTATTAATGGGTTCTTGTAATTCTTGCAATAATTGTGAATAAACACCCTCCAACAATGAATTAGATAAAGATAAGAATTCTAATCAATTAGTTAAGATAAAATAATAAATGAAAGATACCTCTTTCAAAACAAAAAATGATTACGAGGATTATCTAGTAGCAGATGAAGTAGCTCTAGAAAATAGTTCTTAACTTCCAATCTTTGTGAAAGAAAAGGAAATAAGAGAAAATTTAGTATAAGAAAGAATGAATAGATTCATAAAAGATATTGAAGAGGAAGTAAAATATCGAATTAAATAGATGTAGATTATATACATCATTTGCTAGATAATAAGAAGATTAGGCTTGTTATTAAGTGTCATTATCTAAATCAGTTTGTCATAAGACTTTGAAAAACTAATAATAACATTCAGCTGAATTCAACTGTACTAATTTCAACCATTCTATTTCATTTGAAAATACTTAAAACCTCTAAACACTACGTTAAATTCCTTCTTCAACGTATCTTCCAAAATAATACTCGTAGTTTGCCCCTAGAAAAGATACTGAAACTGTTACTTAAAATTCTTAAATAAGTCAAACAATTAATTCTATAAGATTAAAAACTTCAAAAAATTAAAATAAAATTACATCTAATCTCAAAGAAGATCTTAAAAGTATTTATGCTAACTGTGGTAGCTTAAATGAAAGTTAAGATAATTCTGCTTCATATAGCATCAAATACAGTGATTGCTAATCTGGAAAATTTTCTAGTTGTGCTAGCAAAAAATAGAGTGCAAGGAGTATTTTGAAAAGTGATTAAAGGCTTTCAAATTTATAAAGAAATTCTTCCTTAAAATCAACTTAGACAAATTAAAGGTAGAAAAAAGTATCCTTTTCATAAGATACATATTACTATACTTCAAGAACCCTAAAAAGAAATCCTACTACATTGTTACATCGTTGAAAAATACAATCAAGTCAATTGAGCATTTTTGTGAATGAATTAATATAATTACATAAAATATTATAATTGATCTTGAAAAAATTAAGGTCTTAGGATGAATAAAGGTGTTGGATTA